AATGAAAAAGATAAGTCTAATTCAATAATAATAGTGTCTTGGTCATTATGTCAATCTGATTCTTCAAGATAGTACGCACTGGAATAATTAGAGAAATTAATTATGACAGCTAATAATGGCTAAATAATCACTTTCCGTCAAGTTAAATTAAGTTTTTATTTTCGCTTAGAGTATAGCAAGATTAGGGATTCTGTTCAATGGTTGAAGGTATATTTGAAAGCTAAATCTTTTTATTATCGATCTCTAAAACTAAAGGATTCTAAAACTTGCTAACTGCATCAGTTACCAAAGTTACACGTGTTTTGATAACAATCGTCGTAAAGAATAACAGATAGGCAATATATACAGAGGAGAATGGATAATGTTGATGAGCACTAAGTTTGTGTTGCAAGCGATTAGATTTTTGAGATTGTTGTATTCCTCAAGCCTAGTATTAACTTATCACAGTACTGGGCTAATCTTCACACTATCAAATCAAACCGTACAGAAAACCAGAGCTTTCTTGACTTACCACTCTCTTGAAACAGGAATGTTTTTGTGAATATGATTACAGTGACCAGTCATTGAGTAATAACTACTGCCATAATTTTTTTATCTTTAGGATTTAACATATTCTGCGATTTCACTTCTCCATGAGGTCAGTTACTACTGTTGTGGTGTGAGCTACTTATAAGTAGTATATGACGTGAGTGTCAACGTAATGTCTGGCAGCAGAATATGGGGGAAGATCAAGAAAGGAAGAGTTAGAAAACAATGGAATTTGTATGAAATGCATGAATAGTGACAATGGATTGATGTTTTGCAACATGAACTGATATTTTGCAAATGAACGATTTACGATATGGTTTTCCTATTTTACTGAGTAACTCTGTAATTTTCGTTGCATACAATTCGGTTGCCCTTACCGGTGTTCTCCTTCACTACACTGTAACTCCTATTGAAAAGCTTCAATTCTTGTATGATTCTAGATAGATTTTAGTAAATTCAGACAGGGACAGATCTCAGATTCATTCAATGCGGTATGGCTCATTTCCACCAATAGCCATTCATGAAAACGATTACTATCAGAATTATATACAAGAATCCAATGTCTCTCAATAATTTGGTTTTTTGACTAGGAATGAAAAATAAGCTTCGCTTCATTGACTAATTTATTGACTGTCTGAGAATCAACTGTATCCGATTTTTGATAATCAACAGACAATGACGAAATAAATAGTGAATTTAATTAATACAACTAACTCACTTGTTCATTTGGTTTACTAAAATACACTCCCCTACTGCCTCCATCTAAAATTGACTCTTTAAAAAATTAGCTTTCGTTTGACATTGTCTGTCATATTATATGAATAAAACTTAGTAAAATACACATCTTTTTTTTTAAGATGATGCATCTTAGTAGGAATATTCATTCTTCAGTAAATACACTTCATTAAATTTTTTTCTCCTCTGAACTACTAGTATTAAAGAATACACCCATTTCTAAACTCTTCAGTGGCAGTGTTTATTAGATGTGCACAATTTTATGAGTGAATTCAAGTTTATAATTCGTTATTGGGCAAAAACAAACAATCTTAATCAATATAGTAAGGTGTAATTAGACATACCGTTGAATTTATTGAGTAAAAATTAAAGAACAACAAAATGATTGTATCAAATAAAATATTTTTAAGTTATTCAGTTTATCAGTATAATTAATAATCAGTTATACTTAACTCCTTTTGACTAACATAACTCAAGCACGTAGTATGATTGCTGATTTGAATTCCAACGAATACATGTGTAACACGTGTAACCAGCATTCACCGAAGGGCGGAGAGGATCTAAAATCACAACACACGAGGTTAGTTTAACACCTCACACCAAGAAAGAACACGAAGTGGTTGCCAAAGCACTTTTATTTGAAAATTAAATTCGCGGGGTTTCTACAGAAATAGGTTGGGTAGTTCACCGAAGTCTTATGAGTCATCTTGTAAGTTCAGAGCACTCAGGGTTTGTTCTTCAGCTTCCAAAGTGTTTGTGTTTGATCGCCGTGAAATAGGAAGAAAACAGAACAGGTTAGCAACATCATACATGGTGATTTTGACTCCGTTACACCACCCCCTCTCCTAATGAGGCACTGTCCTCAATGCCCGGTCCCGGACAAGGATATGCTGCTCCTCCTTCAGCCGGTATCTCATAAAAACTAGTAGCAGGTGGTGGATCTGTGAACCAAGCATCAGCAGGTACTGTTGTCCGATCTGGCTTTATTGATTGTAGTACACCATTATCGCATCGTCCTGAGGTCGTTGCGGGTTACGTAACACAACCGTCGTGGGGGATCGGATGAGGACGATTTCGAAGGGGCCGTGCCAAGGCTGGTCACCTTTAGTTTTTCTATATCAAGACTGGTTAGTATGATGCAGACCATAGCTTTGAGTTACAAACGATCACAGCAAGAGTATGACATAAACAATACCACATACTAAAGTCGTAACACATTTCATATGAACTAATTCAAATCTACGGCCCAAACCAAATTGAACACTTGTTAACTACATAATTGTTTCTAACCGGTTTTGATGTTCAATCATTCTGGTTCTCGATATTTCTCAGAACAAACCACTGTGTATATTGGGACTAACTTCAAAAGTAAGCAGTGTTGTTTTCAATTCACTTCTCTTCGAATGTATAGTCAGTAAATGTTTAAACATCAGGCTGATAGATCCTCGTAAGTAGTGATAATATAAATCATGAAAATAACATGATAACATTAGATAAATAAATGTGTACTATATTCCAAGACAAAAAATTGAAAGTCCCGAAATAACATGTAATTTTAAAAGAAGTTTATGAACATGTTATTGTCTAAATATATAATAACTAGAAAAGACCTAAAAATAAACTGGAATAAAGTCGGTGGTTGATGGAAGCATTCATTAATTTGTCACTCTGGTTATAAGAAGAACGAAAACAGTGATTATGTTTTAGGTAACTGAAGATAGTCGAAGATAAACCGACACTGGTCAATAAAATTTACTTGTAATCCGGATAGAATCGATACTCTCTAACGGATTCATTTTTATGTAATCAATCTAGGAGGCTGTCACTAATTTATTCAGGTCGCGACTAGGATACACAAAGTTGTGCCAGTTCCTACAAGGATATAGCAGCATCTTGTTCACGGGGAATTTAATTCAGCGATTATCTGTCCAAACCATGTAATATTTCAAGACAATAAACTCGATATGGAGCTACTTAGACTAGTAACTACATTGCAGCTTAATCTATAAGATTCGACTTACACTAAAAAGGATTAGACAAGCATCATAGTGGCCACTGTTCCATTTGTTTTTACAAAATAAAGAAAAGACAGAGTTGTTGTCTTGAGTTCATTTAGCTTTCATCATATATGAAAGACTGGTGAGAACATTCTTATCAACAAACAAAAGAAAGCTGTAAGTGATCTGAAATATGTCAACATTCCTACTTGGATACGCATATATCACATTGAATAACTTTAATTAAAAAAACCAAGCAACAGTTTGTTTACAACTATCACTCATCGCAACTCATTTTTTGAAGTTATTTCCAAAACATTAGGTTTCAACAGCTGACAAATTTCGAATCCGACTTTAGTCATTGTGTGTTTAGTCATTTGATGTGTGCAAACAAGAGATATGCTATTTTTATTTTCAATTTCTTGTAAGCCAAATAATTTGTCAAAACAATTCATTAACAACTATACACTTTATTTTTGTCGCACACGTCTCATCCCACTTTCAATTCTGTATAAAACCTAAAGGGCATTTTTTTTAGTTTACTGGAAGACCGGTTAAATTTCTAACACTTGGTAGTATAATATATTTTTTTTTATGTATTCTAAACTACAAAAAAAATAAATAGTTTTAATACTGATAATTTTGTTTAATGTTCATGCATAGAAGTCTGAAAAGTCCCAATGTAATTTGTCATAAAAATATTACATTCCCTTGAGGAATTCGACATAAACATCGATAAATTTTGCCCTGTTTGATTGTTCATTACTTTCCTTGTTTTTAATGCTACAATATTGATAATAAATTTCTGATTAACACAACTATAAACTGAGGTTTAGTAAAATTGAAAGTAAAAATTACATTATGAATATTGAATGGGATAAATTGATTAAAAAGTCCATTTTATTTAAAGCAAGCGATATATGAGATAAACTGTACACTTTAGGTAATAACTGCCTGAATTATTTATTACATGCAAAACAGAAATAGATTAAAAATGCAAACAATGTAAGATCATACAAATTATGAAATTTTATTCTAAAGGATATGTTATTATTTGTGCAAAAATGAAACTCTGTAGTGCCTCCCCACATATATTCCAGTTAGCTCACATCTAATTTGGTGAAGCTCTTTTGATTAATTTGTATTGAAACAATTTATACGTACCATTCGTTCTTATTATTGTCTGGTTTGTATGAGTTCACATGACGTGTCCCACTTGTCATTTGACCTTGTCAATTATTCGTCGCTTTTATTCATGTGTGTGCATACCTATCGCGTTGATCACATGTCTGTCTTATTTTTGTCTGATTATATATTCTTAGTCATTCTCTATCTCTTGGAATTGACTCATTAGCCTTCTCCGATTCACGTCGCTCTATTGGTTTTACTCACTGCTTCTCCGCTTCGCTTTGTGGTGTGTCCCAAATAAACGTATTCAACACTAGAGTTCACCTTCTGATTTACAAACCGTCAGACACTAGTTAGTAACGATTGTCTAGACGAGCTAATCACGAAGATTAAGAACACGTCGAAATTGACACATCACAAATGTTGAGCCCGCCGCAGAAATGGGCCAGCACAACTCAAACTAGCTTGTACTGAACGTGAAAACAACTTTTTCTAATGGCTAATGGCTATGAAAAAAAGTAGATCATGAGAAATCTCTTATCGGGCATTAAAGAATAGATCAAGAAAAATGAATCAGCGCTAAAGATAGAAGAACCGGACATTGATTGCCGTCTAATGGCTAAATGGTGATATCAACTCAATCTCGGTCACTTCCAACGAGTCTAATGCAGTCTTCGATTCTTCATTCTTCGAGGGTTTAGCTGAATCAGATTTAGCATCTACTGTGTCCTCCTTTGATTCAGGCTTTGCATAACCTTCAGCTTTCTCCACTTTTGACAGAATATCTAATTCATTCTCCTGTTCCCCATTAGAACCACCACCAGAGACCTTGTCGTTTCGCTGATCGTTAACCGCCGACGATCCATGGTGTTCAGGCATGAAGGGAGGTGCAGAATAACGTGTCAGTGCAATACCAGCTCTGTCATCTGATATAGGTTTCGAACTGAAAGCGATTTTTAAATGGAAAAGATGAGCGTTTCCAGAAACGTGAACTGGTCGATGATTTGCTAAAATGAGTGCCTCAAAAGCATCGGTCAACATATCCCACTCTACTAACCCTGTCCAACTCAGCACAACAATAGATCAGATATTGTCTGAACAGCTCAGTAATAACTTGCTGAAACACAGGACTAGATACTGGGATTTACAAGTGAAGAACATGCTTCTGAAGATTGGATGCCAGTAAGTACAAATTTAAGTTTAAGGCTTTCAGTAGAGCCAAAAACGTTTTCAAAGCAAATTGACAGGTTAATAGGCGATTTAAGTGTTATTGAAAATTGATAATCCGTTGGTTAAAATACCTTGGCTATCAGTCCATTCAATGGAATACTGATGTTTCATTGGCTTCATTTGGAAAAATAAATCTACACTTGTATAGTTGAAGTTACTGCCAATAACCTGAGTATCAATCTTGTCAACTTGATATAAGCCTCTCAGTAATACCTGAGTTTTTGTACTAAGTTAAAGTCTGCTAGGTCTTGAAATGGCGAACCCAGAACCTCTCTTTGGATTTAACGAAAAACTTGAAAATCCTGTAGTAAGCATAATAAGTTCATGCTTAGGATTTAGAAATCTACACTTATTATCATAGTTAGTGTACGGTAAAGGCAACCATCATCGCTTTCCATCAATTAGTAACTTGATTGACCTCCCTTACTGCCCACCAGATATTCGAGAAAATAATTCTAAACGAACCACCACTAAGCATTTGTGAGATATTTAAAATTAGGCAGAAACATATAACCGGTATCTCCTGTTGAATAGTTTGCCACTTGATGTCACTTGTTGACTGTAATCATCCGAATTATTCCGAAATTAAGAGTTTTTTGAACAGGTCACTGTACGTGTACTTTAACAAACAACACTGTTAAAAGCTAGCTGCCTAGCTATTTACTAATAACCGAAGCCTATTGATTTGTCAATATCCGTCATTGAATAACGCACTACTTACTGCCCAGTCAATACTTATTGATTATTATACTTCGAATTCAGTCACAAACAAATAAAAACAGAGTAAACCAAATCGAAACACAGATAAATTAGCTCATCGTTAAAAACCCAAGATTTTATATATTTTTCTATGTAATTTGGGTATTGTTAAAGTTTGTTCATTGTTGAATGAATCAATTAGATTGAACTATAGCAAATAACCTCACTATGTCACGCAAACAATATGTTCAAAAAGAAAAAAATAATAACAATCCATCTCTCTGTATTCATGCAACAGTTAATAAAAAATTTTGGAATATCATTTCCGCAAATCAATAATTTTCACGGAGAATGCATTTATACTAACTATATGGTTAATTTGTAACTTGCAATAAAATTTAGCTGAAATGAAAAGACAAATGAAATGACCATGTAAACTTGTGATTTTTTTTTATTTCAGCTCATCGATTAGATGAAATTATATTCGAAATACATATATATGTATGTCTCATGAAAATTTTATCTACTGATTACTGAAAAGTTGGCTGTTTGTTGATGATTAAATTTAGTGGATACTGCCTGAAAAAAAATATCAGTCATATATAAACTGCAGTCAATTGTAATTTGTCTCGTTGTGAAATTTACAGATTAAGTTCATTCAGTATAAATTAAAATACAGTGTGTAGTGAAGTTGTACTTGTGCGAAAGGAATACGGATAACACTTTTGTTATTTGTAATGAAAAGTAATAACCTCATTGTCTGTAGTGTGTCGAATTAATGTGATGTTCTTAAGCTCGGTTTATAAAATCAGAATATGAACTCGTATTGATGAATACGTTTATTCGGGACACACCACAAAGCGAAGCGAATCGGAGAAGGCTAAGAGCCAACTCAAAGAGGTAAAGCATGACTAAGAATTTATATTGGGGCACAGTTTTGGAGGTTTGCGTTTTTACACATTTGAAATCATTAATCAATCATCATTGTTAGACCACCATTAGAAACCTGGAAGCACTGGACGGCCGTTTCGTCCTAGTATGGGACTCCTCAGCAGTGCGCATCCACGACTCCTGCTCCTCGCAGGATTCGAACCCGGGACCTTTGGCATTGTAGGCGAACGCCTTACCATCGGACCACTGGGCCGGCATCCAACGGTGTTAATGTCTAACTCTGATTGATCTAGGGATTTTGCGCGACCTCACCCATTTGTCTTTGGTAGTTACTGCCTACACCCGACAGGGTTGAACTCCACTGGTCACGTCTTCTCAACTAGAACTCCGAGAATTTCCTCACGAAGCTAGTCACTAGTGAGCACTGTTACATTATATTGGGGCACAGTTTTGGAGGTTTGCGTTTTTACACATTTGAAATCATTAATCAATCATCATTGTTAGACCACCATTAGAAACCTGGAAGCACTGGACGGCCGTTTCGTCCTAGTATGGGACTCCTCAGCAGTGCGCATCCACGACTCCTGCTCCTCGCAGGATTCGAACCCGGGACCTTTGGCATTGTAGGCGAACGCCTTACCATCGGACCACTGGGCCGGCATCATCTAACAATGATGATTGATTAATGATTTCAAATGTGTAAAAACGCAAACCTCCAAAACTGTGCCCCAATATAATGTAACAGTGCTCACTAGTGACTAGCTTCGTGAGGAAATTCTCGGAGTTCTAGTTGAGAAGACGTGACCAGTGGAGTTCAACCCTGTCGGGTGTAGGCAGTAACTACCAAAGACAAATGGGTGAGGTCGCGCAAAATCCCTAGATCAATCAGAGTTAGACATTAACACCGTTGGATGCCGGCCCAGTGGTCCGATGGTAAGGCGTTCGCCTACAATGCCAAAGGTCCCGGGTTCGAATCCTGCGAGGAGCAGGAGTCGTGGATGCGCACTGCTGAGGAGTCCCATACTAGGACGAAACGGCCGTCCAGTGCTTCCAGGTTTCTAATGGTGGTCTAACAATGATGATTGATTAATGATTTCAAATGTGTAAAAACGCAAACCTCCAAAACTGTGCCCCAATATAATGTAACAGTGCTCACTAGTGACTAGCTTCGTGAGGAAATTCTCGGAGTTCTAGTTGAGAAGACGTGACCAGTGGAGTTCAACCCTGTCGGGTGTAGGCAGTAACTACCAAAGACAAATGGGTGAGGTCGCGCAAAATCCCTAGATCAATCAGAGTTAGACATTAACACCGTTGGATGCCGGCCCAGTGGTCCGATGGTAAGGCGTTCGCCTACAATGCCAAAGGTCCCGGGTTCGAATCCTGCGAGGAGCAGGAGTCGTGGATGCGCACTGCTGAGGAGTCCCATACTAGGACGAAACGGCCGTCCAGTGCTTCCAGGTTTCTAATGGTGGTCTAACAATGATGATTGATTAATGATTTCAAATGTGTAAGAATTTATAGTCATACAAAAATAAGACAGACATATGACAAGAGAAATAGGCGTGCACACACATGAATAAAAGCAACGAATGGTTGACAAGGTCAAATGACAAGTGGAACATATCATGTGAGCTCATACAAACCAGACAAAAAAAAATACCAATGGTACATATGAGTTGTTGCTATACAAATGGCTTGGTTAAATAAATTAATCGAAAGGGCTTAACCAGGTTAGATGTAAGCGAACTGGAATATATGTGGAGGCACTACATGTCATCCTCAATAAGTTCATTACGTACTGTCAATCTATCTCATTTAATTGGATCAGAATCAGATTAGAAATTTTATTTCCTCAAGATCTATCTTATTCACTTGAAGACAAGATAGTTTATTATAAATATCTGTATATCGTAAACCAACTCGAAATGGACAGATTGACAGTTTTTACAGCTGGGTTTCATGAAACAAAAAGGGAAACGTAATGTAATTAGGTGAATGTGCGCAGAAGATACTCCAGATGAGAAACAATCCAAATTGCGACAGATGTTACTCAAAAAATGGCTATACATCCGGGATGGTTGGGCGAAACGTGAGACCTAACTTACAATCTGCAAATCCCCTAACAGTTCCTAAGAGAAATTTTTCCCACTGAATTCAAGGTAGATACTGCTTGCGAATATTATGGAGATTCGTCTAAAGAAATCTTTGAAGAAAATGTTTTATAATGCCAAGCTTTTCATCGTTCTTTTCAGCCACCCGTTCGTTTGTGAGTGTGTTCCAGTAGAACTTTTGCACTGAGCCACAACAATGTATATGCATAAGTTTGATTGCTTTTGTGTAGCTGGTTATATAGGTCCAAACGCATCTCCAAACATATTGTCTTGATGACATTCGAAAACTGCAAATCAATCGACTGTTCAGTATCAGAATATTCTGTGAACTATGGTCAGATGGTCACACGTAATAAGCATTTTAAAATCATCCATATGGTTAGACGTTTTGGTTTGAGAGGAATATACAAACTAATAACTTAGACACTACAGAGGTTTTATCAATTCATTTTCGCATGACTGAGCTCTGTGTACAATACAGACCCGTGCAAGCCATTATACTGTTATGGCTCTAACACTATTTTCATTAGTCAGAAATTAGATTTCATTACATCTTGTTAACGTTTCTAAACTTCTTTGATTTAATTATTCGTTATTATCATCATCCGGTTTTTAAACTTGTCATTCATCATTCTTATATCTGTCAAGTGGACAGTTTTCCTGCATATATTGCTTCCGATCATTCAGCAACTCTCTTCAACACATGATGTGAAGTAATTGCCCTCCTATTTTTTTTGCGTAAGGTATTTTATTTGCTGATTAACTTAGGTTTAGTTACTAAATTTTGAAAAGAACACAAACAATTATATGTATTTTTTGAATTAGAAACGAACAACAATAAATAAGTCACTCAATAACAAATAATCAGTGTCATTTAAATTATCCAATGGTGATATTTTGTGTCAGCACAAATACAAAAGTTAATTTTTATTGACGCACTGACAAAAATTTAGGCTCTATCCAAAACCAGAAAGTAATAAACAGTTGTTTCAAACTACGTTGGAACTTTTTAATTGTTGGCGGCCATGAAACGACATGAAATCACCATAGGAATCAGAACATCCATTATAACTAATGCCTAGAGTTTATCAGCTGCCCTTCATGCGTGAT